CTGCTCTATCTTGTTCACTGTCACCCAAAGGCAAAGGGACAGTGGGTCTAGAAGGGGGAGTCCTCACAACGGCTAGTACCCGGTGGGCTCCATATCCTGGAAAAAGCCCATGACAGAAAGACAGAGATTCCTACTCTCCAAGTAGTTTGTAGCAACAGCCCTTAAACCCTGACTTGCTTCCTACGGGGAAGCTCTGTTTTTGTTTCATCTCCTTTTTGGTGGTAGAGAGGGGGATGAAAAAGTTAAGAATAATACCATTCAAAATGAGCTGTGACTATTCATAGACAGCATCAAGTTTGCACTCCTGTGTGTTGTTTCTTTCATTTCAGCTTACTGAATCTCCATTTTTGGTTTCACTGCTCATACTCACTTATTCTTTAGTTCAAATGTAAAAGAACAGAGAGCTAGAAGCCCCTTCTTCCCCTGAGACTAGGCTGCAATATCTTCATGGACAGAGAATTAGTGCATTTATACCCACCCGACACCATGCCTTCTATATACCAGCCATTAAGTATATATTGTGCCCACACTAACTCATGCCTGTTCTGTGATACTGATATTTCTCTTCCTTACCTGTTTCATTCTTTCTTCAGCCTGGCTTTTGTGCTATCCCCCTGACCCCACTCTTGCTAAAGTCACCACGGACCTCCTAACCGCCACAGACGCGTAGGTTCTGTGGTGCTGCATGCTGCCCTCCTTGAATTTTCCCTTCCCTTGACTTCTGGGCTTCCCTGCTCTCCTGGCCACTCTGCCCCTCCAGTGGCTCTTAGTCTCCTGATTATCTCTTCTTCCGTTTTCTCCCCAAAGTTGGTGGTCCCCAGAATTCTGATTTACTACCCCTTCCCATCTCACTTTTATGCTTTTTTGGTTCATCCTTAGCTAAGGCCTTGACTATACTTGTAACTCCCAAGCTACATTTGAGCCCTCGCTTCTCTCCTGAGCCCTGATCCTGTATCTCCACCAGCCCCACTTGAAACCAGCAATACAGGGGCACCCTCTCAACACATGAACGTAATAATGCATGATTTCTTTGTCACCCTCCCAGTTTGCCCTTCTCCTATATCCTATCTCTCTAGCTTAGTTCATGACATCACCTTTCACACATCTAGCCTTGCACGTGCTGCTGTGTCTACCTAGGGCAATGATTCTCAACAGGAGTCAATTTTGCCTGTAGGGGACCTTTGGCAATATCTGGAAACATTTTTTGATTGTCACAACTAGAAGAGAGGGGTACTACAGGCATCTAGTGGGTGGTGGCCAAAGATGCTGCTGAACATCCTAAGGCACAGGACAGCAACCCCACAAGAAAAAGTATCCAGCCCAAATGTCAATCAATAGGGCTGAGATTGAAAATCCTTGCTCTAGAATATCTTCTTTGCTCTCTCTGCCTGGTGAACTCCAACTCACCTACCAAGACTCAGCTCAAATGTCACCACCTCCGTGAAGTCTTCCTCTATCAACCAGGTCCTCTCCTCCAGATGAGTATTCTTGCATCCTTCTCACCTTCTCATACACACCTCTATTTTAGCACATTAGACATTAGGCTGAATTTCTGTTTGTTTACCAGCGTATCTCTATTACTAGCATGGGAGTTCCCCCAAGGGGACCATATCTTATTATCTTTTATTCCCAGGGCTTGGGTCAGTGCCTGGCAAATAATAGGTACTCAAATATGTGCCATATGAATGAATTAAAGAAATAATATCTACAGAGAAATCCGAAGTGTTTCTGAAGCAAACAACTCATGTCCCTGAACCACTCTGAAGTTAATATTCTAGTTCCTCAGTTCTAAGTTCTGAGAGATATGCATTCACAAGAGTACATCTCTTAACAAATTTCTAAAATGGGTCATTCACATTGTTACATCACAGTTTTAGAGTCAATATTTATAAACTATATTGGTTTTTATAGGAAAGGTTAAGTGTTCAAAATAAATTTAACCAAATGTCTCTAAATATTCTGGTGAAGAGGAGCTGAGAAAATAATGCAACACTAAAACAAATACATATTTAAAACATTTATTTTAGGAAGAATAACTAAGTAAATTACTGAAATGTATCATCTTGAGATTAGTGTTAAAGGCTTTGAAATCATTGAGACAGTGTTTTTTAAAGTTCTACTACACTAGTCTTAAACAATTTACCTACCCAGGATTAAGCAACAGGAAATGAAGAAAAAATTTATAACATAAAGAAAAAATGTAAAGCCAAACTTTTGGATAAAAATGTGCATCTATGTGAAGAATGGAGGACCTGTACAAACTTGGGCACAATGCTGAGGTATTTTAAATAATAGGGTAACAAAATCTCGGAGCATCCTAACAGTATAACATAGGAGATTTAGAGAATAGACAGGAAAAAATAAAATAACAACTGAGTAAACTGTTCCATAGAGTTTAGAAAACTGGAGTCATTTTTATAACTAGATAAAAACTACTTCTTGACTGAACTGACAAAATATTACAATGTTAAAACATCAAATATCTACTTTCAGATCAAAAGTCATTACACAGCCTTTACAAAAGTAATATGGTATTTCAACAAGTATATATAAGAAACATATGCCAGTTATTGTTACGTTCTTTGATAGCAAATAAATAAAACAAACATTATCACGCAGACTACAAAGTCCCACTTTCATTCTAAGTTGTAAACACAGAACAGAGCCCTGTTGCAGATAGGTAAAAGTTCTCACCAGATTTTAAAATATCAGACATTTATGAGCTGTTATTATAGAGAGCTAGAAACTGGATACTATGCTGCTAGATACTGGTAGCTAAACACATAAGAAAAGAATTCGTAGACTCTCAGTGCTTTAGAAACCAGGGTCCCTGACCAAAGCAGTGATTTAATTTCACGGCTGCTCGGTACAGATAGCTGACATTACTAAATGCTACTCTAATATCAACTTGTTAAATGTGAATCCAGACTCAGCATATCAGAATACTAACCCAGACTAACTGGAGTCATGGGAAATATTTTGGGAGCTGTTTATTTATAAATGAGTTACAATATACCACTATAATTAGATTAATATATAATTATTGATAAACACAGGATTATTTCTAAAACCCCAGTATTGTTGCCACTGCTAAGTTTAGAAAAAACATTAGCATTTTCTTTTTAAAATAAGCCCTTACCAATCAATTAGATCAATGTAGATCTAGTATATGTTGAATTTAATGGTCACTGTATTGCTTACCAATACTTTTATATAGAATTGTTTAATAAACATTAAATGGAGGCACAAATTAAAGCTCTCCAGCAAACTACACATTTCTGAACTATTTATAATCCAATAATCTACCAAAAATTAGAATCTACACAAAGCTAAACATTTGGCTGTCACAAAAAAATAGTTAAGTTAGCTTACCTAAGTTAAATAAAACCAATAAAAGTGTATATTTTTAGCTATGCAGAAGGCATTTAGTCACATTTTATTAAAAAACATTAAAAATACCTTTTTCAAAAGTATCATTAACAACAAACTATAATATTACCACAAAATCAACTATTTTAAGGCCAGGTCTACAGATATATTTATCTATAAATATTTCTAGGTTAATTATTCTTTTCAGATTTATTTCACTAAATGTAAGATAAGTTTACAAGGTACATGTAATTCAATTAGCAAATTATTAATATGTTTCTTTATAGAGTCACTGCATTGCTTTCTTTCAGGGGGCAAAACAGTTTCATGGATTATAATCTCCTAAAAGCTGTTTTTTTAAAAGTTTTATAAATGAAATAATCCTAAAACATAGATCAAAATTTGAAATCTGATCTTTATTCATCTTTAGTAAAGTAGTTGCTAATATTAACATATGGGCATTGGGTAACAATAATTATATTTATGAGATTTGAAAAGAGATAAAACTATCAATTACTTAATATTTTATTTACCTAAAGCTACTTGTCCATTTAAAAAATTTTTTTAATATAGATATTGAGGGTTAAATAAACACAGATAAACAGATAAGAGTTTTTCTCCCCTAAACTATTATGTACTGTCATCTAGAATTGATTTAGCCAGAAAAAATTTTTTAATTTCCTGGAATCTGGCAAGACCTTCCAAATACAGAAATATTAAAAACCTACTTAAGTTCAAATACTTTGGAAAATCTATGTAAGTTCAAATACTTTGGAAAGGCTCAATTACATAAAAAACTGTTTTGGTTAAGATTCATTAGAGTTAAATGACTAATAAACAAAATTATCAAAATAACAAATTAATAAGGTAAATAGAAGAGTATGGGAAATGCCTAGCAATTGAAGCCAAATTCAAAAAACATAAAATTTGGAATTCAATATTGTTGAAAGACCAAGTTACATTTTAGAAGGCAGTCTTAACTGGTAGCTAAAGCTAGAGGAAAATCGGGTGGAAACAAAATTCCTGTGGTTAAGGGTATATACAAATGCAAATGCCATTTATTTTTCCTCTGCTTTAAACATGCAGCATAATCGTTTTTTATCAATGTTCCACTAAATACACATCTTTTAGAGGAACATTTTCTCTGCATTCATTTGTGACAAGATTTTCACATTTTTATGTAGGTTTTTTTATTGTTTAATATTTTAAATAAGTATTCTATATTTTACCTTATTTCACAATGATTAAGGAGGGGAGAATACTAAATCAACATTTTTGAAAGAGGAATAAAATATGGAGTTAGACATTAAAATGCTATGTTACCTGAAGAAAAAAATACCAAAGTAAAAATGTTATGAAATAAATTATTATTTAAAACTTGTTTTTATGCTACAGAAATGTCTCATGCCTTAAATCACTTTGGAAAGTTTTTTTTTCCTTTTAATGCATATTTCCAACACTGGTAAAATAACAAATAGAGTGAAAAACTATTGGGGGGTTCTTCAGATTTGCAAATACAAAGATTATGACTATAAAACACTTGCTAGCTAAGTTATAATAAATTTTAACCAAATATTTCATAAAGCTTTTCTAGTATAAATTAACATTTACTAAGACCAAAGGAAACTTACCTTACAAGAATGCTTTAAAGAATTAGATAGTTCATTTGTAAAATCTCTGTTACTGTCTCTTGATAAGTTATCAACTTTATCTTCATTTCCAGATGCAAACTTTATGAGTAATTGTGATGGTCCCCCCTTAGAACAATTGTGCTTAAGGCTGGATAAACAGGAAACATTTGGATAAGTTCCTCCCAATGAAATACTTCTTTGTAAAATAGCATAGTTTTTGTTTATCTGTAAATTTGGTCTTTCCAACTGTCCATTGATATTTATTTGGTAATCTATGTTTTGAGAGGATGGTAAACGTGCAGATGTCCTCTGCCTAAACTTAATGCACTCTGAATCAGAATTAAGCTTCATTTCTGATATCTCTGGTTTACAATCACCATTTGCTGTTTCACAATCTAATGTAGTTGCTATTTGTTGGCTGAAATGCACTGAGACACAAGAATATCCTTCAGATGACTTTTCACAGACAGTCTGATTCGGACTATTATTTGCAACAGCAATTTTCTTTTGTAATGAGCCCTTCCTGTGAAGTGGTCTTATGTCTCTTACTTCTCCGGGAGTACACGTTGTTTTAGATAACCGAAGTCCATTGACAGCTGTGGAAAGAAATGCCTTAGCACTCGTCCCATCTTCACTGTGGGCAATTTCACTAGGAGAAATAATAAACTGGTGTGAGGTTTGATAGGATCCTTTGCTTGGAAGAATATCCGTACTTGTTGGAGAAGTTGGTGGGGTATTTGAAGGACTCCTAGGAAAAATGACTAAAGATGAACAACGTTTCAGTGGAATTTTTGAGTTCCTGCTCACTGGCAATTTCATAATTTCTAGTCCACGCTCCAAGTCCTCCTGGACAAAAGGAACAGTACTTGGACTTCTTGAAAAAATTTCACATGGAATAGTATTCCTGTTTGGCACACTTCTATTGGAGGTGCCGTCAGAAGGTAGATTTCCACCCAAAAAAGTATCGTCAGTTGGTGGAAGAGTATAACCACTGCTGTCACTGATGATACTGTTTGTGTAGGAACCACCACTTGTGATACTTGCACATGATCCATAATCACTACCGTTGCTGCTGTAAGACCCATTCTCACTGGTGGAAAAGTTACTAAGGCTACCGCTGCGAAGGGCAGAACCGCTTACAAGGTTACCATCACTCACAGCATTCAGTTCATTATCAGCCACAGCATTGTTGTAAATGCCGTCCTTGAAGACACATGTCAACGAAGCATCATCCCCATCAGCTAAGACATTGTTAGGCTGAAGATATCCACCGTACCTTGTCGGCTGTAGCGAAATCTGCAGACAGCTGCTCTTTTTATTAACATTTTCAGGTGAAGGAACAGATGATCTTTCCTGAGACTTAAGGTTTTCCTGTATTAACGGAGCTAGTGCAGTTTGTCTAGGAGTCAGCTTCATTTGAACAACATTAGACGCTGAAATCCGGGTTGGTCTTTTGAAGCACATGTGAACATTGCTATCCAAATCATCTCCGGAGCTTTCTGACAAAGGATAAGTATTGCTTCTTCGGGCTGCAAAGTGCAATCGTAAGCTTTGTGCCATTTGTTCTCATTTCCAAACATGTTAAGGGTTGAAAGTCATGACAAAGATCTCTGTCGGTAGACAGGCTAGCAGCAGCTGCCCAGCATCGAAGGAAAAAATCATTTGTGGTGCCTAAAAGAGCTCTTAAGCAGCAGTCTTTATCCTAAGTAAAACCTTAGATACCAGCTATCATAGAAAGAAAAAGACGACATTCCAGAGACTGACGGTTCCAAATATTTTGAATCGCTTGTAGTCAAAGTGCCTTCGCTTACAAAGCACTTGATTTCCAGCGACCTTGAAGCTGAGCTCGGCTGCAGCACTCTGCCTCAAACACTGCCAACCTTGTTTCAATTATACCTTCTCCAATTTGCATGAATGAGTAACACAAGAACAACAATCTTCTAGCATTTCAAGTTGAAACAGTATTTTTTCACTCCTGCTCTACTAAATGAACATTTAACCATGTGAATCACGGAGCCTATACTTTCTCCAGCAGTTCGACCACTAATATTTTTACCCATAGGGATAGAATTACAGGAAGTTGGTAGGAATGAAACCCCATGTAATTGAGTATCAAATCAAGGATTGAATTTCCAAATAGTAGCCAAACTAGGAATCTCGTCAAGTCAGTTAATGTAAAAAGGCATATATTCTGTTAATTTTTTTTGGATGAGTAAATTCAAACAGTCGTATAAATCTGGAAGTACCAAAACTTTGGGGTGAGTTAAAACTCAAGCATTAAATCAAATAGATAAATATTCTAGCTTCCAAAACACTACTTATGAAAAGTGAAAGCTTAAGGAGAGAAATACAAAATTAGCCTAGTAATACTATTGAAAAATTGAGCACAGGTCTGAGAAAGAAAAGTTTAAGAGAAGCTGTCACCAAGCATTTTCTCCTGTAATTTTAAGGCCTTTCTCAGCCAAGTAGTACAGTCTTTAACTGATGCCATTTATATTTTGACTATTAAAACTCTGCCAAGAAATAGCCTAAGCAAACATTCCATTAAAAATATATGCAGATTAGATAGAAAAACTATACCCCAATATAGTTTGAGCACACCAGATATTTTATTCCATTGTCTCTGCAATTCATTCATTTAAGAGAGTGTTGTGGTAAGTAAAGAAGTCTAAAAAGGATTTAACACATCAAATAAACATATCTCAATGCCAATTCTGTTCTGAAAACTCTAAGAGCTCTTTGCTGGCCCCTACTGGTGTGTTGAAACAATCCATTTAGCTGTTTGATATCTATAAAGAAATATAAACCATGCTGCATATTTCTTTGTATAAACAAAGTACATACTTGTTTACATTTTTGAGTACTAGCCTTGCCCTAGAGGTGGAATTACTTACTACTGCTGATAAAGCTCCCACAGTAGAGAACAGTAGACCGTTTGTCCTCCTAGAGGTTGTGATTTTGTATGTATATTTTTTTCTGCTTTGTATTTATTTAACCTTTACTTTATTTTCAGTTTACTAGGTAATAAAAGTTTAATATTTTAATTTCTCCCCTAAATGTCACAGACCAAGGTTGGTATTCTATTTGAAAGAAACAGATTTATTTTTAAATAATACTCTAGGGTATATTTAAACCCCTTACCTGAATTTTATAGCTGGAACTCCAGTAATAAATATATACTGGCTCATTCATAGGAAAGTAAAAAGTAAAATAGTTCAGTTGTTTACACCACATGGTACTACACCCAAGTTGTATTTTCCTAAGTAAGATTTTTTTTTCTAAGTAAAAGTAAATATGTAAAACATATACTTGTACTTTGTTTAAAAAAGAAAACGCCTTAAGACAGATCTGTTCTCAATCATAATGTTCTAAACAGTATTTTTAATCAATTAGGAGATGATGAAATAGAAATATGGAATTTATGAAATTACATTTCGGACTAGGAAGATATAGTACTATGCTTTAGAATGTGTACAATTATAAATTTAGCAATAAAATCATTATGTTATTTTGGTTTTATATAACCTACCTCCTTTATGATTTTACAGACTTCAGTAAATATTCCCTTGTAATCCTCTCTCTTTATAGAAGAAAGAGTCCCAATCTTTTCACTTTACCTTCAAATGACTTCAGCTTTTCTTCCTGAATTAAGTTAGGGGTCTCATAACTCAAAGAATGGAACACTTCTAAGAGGCTAACTAATGAGACTAACTGCTCATGCCTGTGGCCTAAAACTTCTAGTTAACAGGCAAAACTCTGGTTGTTGATATAAAATAATGAGCCTCAGATATTTGGCTAGATAAATGTTTTCACTTTGGTAAGCTTCACTAGAAACATCAGTCTCATGTGTCCGAACTAGATTTCAAGCTTCCAGAATGCCAGGACCATAACTACACTTTTGTGATCTTCCTGGGCTCATGCTGGGCACAAAGTAAGCACGAAGTAACACCAGAGAGGAGGCTAAATGGGTAGATGGTCACCACACTTATTCTGACTGCCTAATGCTTTCTTTCAGGATTTGATCCAGCTATTACTTCTGAAGAAATATCAAAAAGCACCTTACGACCCAGCAATTGCACTACTGGGTATTTACCCCAAAGATACAAATGTAGTGATCTGAAGGGGCACATGCACCCCAATGTTTATAGCAGCAATGTCCACAATAGCCAAACTATGGAAAGAGCCTAGATGTCCATCAACAGATGAATGGATAAAGAAGATATGGTATATACATACAATGGAATATTAGGCAGCCATCAAAAAAATGAAATCTTGTCATTTGCAATGACGTGGATGGAACTAGAGGGTATTATGATAAGTGAAATAAGTCAATCAGAGAAAGACATGTATCATATGACCTCACTGATATGAGGAATTCTTAATCTCAGGAAACAAACTGAGGGTTGCTGGAGTGGTCGGGGGTGGGAGGGATGGGGCGGCTGGGTGATAGACATTGGGGAGGGTATGTGCTATAGTGAGTGCTGTGAATTGTGCAAGACTGTTGAATCACAGATCTGTACCTCTGAAACAAATAATACATTATATTTTAATAAAAAATTAAAAAAGAATAATCTTATTTTAAATTAAAAAAAAAGCACTGCAGCTGGACAAGAAGGAATGATGATTAAAAATTTTCAAGGAGGGCTTCAGCTGGGAAGTGCTTATGATTCTCTCACCTTCCCATTACTGTCATCACCACCACGATCACCATCATCAAACTGCTGGTTTACAACCCTTAGGTCTTAGAACAAGAGGGATATAACCCTCTCTTTTTTCAAAACAAGTAACACTTACATTGCAAATATCTTCCAGAGGACTAGAAATCGTTTCTGCTTAAACTTTATCTGTGCCCTTCGCCATACATTTCCAAAGAGAATTTGCTAGGAAAAGGATATGTTCTTAATTTAGTTGTGAATGCTATAGGGGAATAAGCATAAATAACATTTACAGTGGCACAGGACATTTACTGCTATATAGTCAAGCCTGTTACTCTACCAATGGCTAGAGTTTCTATAACATCTCAGGTGATATGTACACTTCAGGTACCTGCTAGGACTAACAACAAATCAGAGGATTAGAATGACACACACTACCCTGTTCTAATTACTTCTTGCTTCTTGAGAAAAGCTGTATTTCTAATCCCAGTTGATACCCAAATGGCACATGTTAACATGTCACAGAGGAATGTATTCAGTGATGATATTTTAATAAATTCAAAAATATGCAAAAGGAAACTATACTCAGGGATACATATATACATGATAAACAAGTTTTTTTTAAAAGCAAAGAAATGATAAGCACAATATTCAGGACAGTGGCTACTACTTGTCGGGGAAGAAAAGGAGATGCTACTGGGGAGGGGGACGGGGGGTCGTAGATTTTGGTAATGTTCTAGTTCTTAAGTTGAGTAATAAGTGCATAGATATTTGTCTTATTATTTAAAACAAGGATTTAGGGGCACCTGGGTGGCTCAGTTGGTTAAGTGTCTGCCTTCAGCTCAGGTCATGATCTCAGGGTCCTGGGATCGAGCCCCGCATCAGGCTCCCTGCTAAGCAGGGAGCCTGCTTTTCCCCCTCCCTCCTGCTCTTGCTCACTCACTCTGTCAAATAAATAAATAAAATCTTAAATAAAATAAAATAAGGATTTATATTATGCACTTTTTTGTGTGTTTATTTCATGATTTTAAAAAACACAAATACTAAATTTCTCCTGGTCCCATCTAGAAGGGAAACAAATCTGTAGAGACAGAAGGGGGAAAAAAATCTCTATCCTATAGAAAAAACAAAAATACAAACAGAAAAGAAAAAGCTCTGCACCTGACCATATCTGATAACCAAACATCAACATCTGTCATGTCACTCAACCTTAAAAAGTTAGACTGCAATTAGTGATGAAGTCTCCTTTGTTGATAAAAAAGCACTTTTGCTTATTATGATTGCTAATTAATAGATTTCATTTGCAGTATCTTCCATTACTAGTATAGTTATCATTTCTTGGGGGGGGGAACATGTTATGTAGTCCAACACTAAAAACAAATTTTAAAAATCCAGTTTCTTAAAAAAGAAAGAAAAAAAAATCCAGTTTTTTGTTAGCTAAAAAGTGAATGATTATTTCTTTTTTGGTGCTTCTGTTTAATAACTGATACGCCTTGAATACATAACACTCTTACACCTTCCTTTTCAAGTCTTACAGGTTTTAAAACATACATGGAAAATGCTAAGAAGAAAAGATCTGAAATAGCATTCCTAAGAGACAAAATTAGGAAAAGGATAGGACTTCAAGACAGTCTTTAGGAAATCAGGAATTAGAACTACCTTTTCATAAAAATAAAATCAGGCTTAACTTTGCCTTTTTTTTTTTTTTTTTTGGCCTCTGTAAGAGCTGACAGTCCTTTAGAGGACTTCATCGGTGTCAGGAGGACAGACAGTCTTCCTTCGTAGAAGAGCGGGGGAGGGGAGAGGGAGTGAGACAGAGCCACCGCAGTGAGGAGGCACAGGTGCAGCCGCTCTGGGAGAGGGTTCCCTGAGCCTGGGCACACTCACCACTCCACATAGGATGAG